GGTTTAGAAATTTATTCTGAAAATACACATTCACACCTGAAACATATGTATTTCAAATTATACATTGTATACAATCAATCAACAATCAACATATGGGCAATAATCATAAAAAACACAACTAGTCTTAACCTTCAGCTACAAATTCTGGTAACATGGCAATATACAGTATAGTAATGACAAACACAAATTACATTAACACACGAACTCAAAACCACATTTTGATTCAAATATACATTTTAAAATGTACAACTTCTATATTTCCAAGAAAAAAAAATTACAATGGAAGTTAAGACGATTTTTGTCCACTATTTGCATACTATAGTATGTGTGTGGTTCGTGTTAGTTGGGATGTGTGAGGTGACTCTCTCTTGCCTAGCGTTAATCCCGCATCGGCAGGGTCCGAGAAACACTCAAAACAGGCGTGTCTGACCCCCCCAGCTTCTCTCTCTCCCCGTCTAAGTGTCTCCTGGAGAGCCAGCTGGGGTCTGCGACAAGACCGATTCCTCATGCCAGAAATCGTATAGGGCTGATAAAGTGATCTCATCTTAAAAAAAAAACACAACTAGCACCCATGTTTTCATTTATTTATCAAAATTAATAAAAATAAAGCCTGTGTCTGTCCTCAATGGTGAGAGTTGGGCTCAATATCTGCTCTTTCGTCGTTTCTTCGTCTTAGACATCTTGGAGGTGGCAGCAGTAGCTGATGAAGAAGACGATGATGAATTTGTCACCGACACCCCTTCCCCTGAGGATGAGACCGATGACATTAAGCACCACACCTGTTTCGTCTGGAATGACCTATCGGCCCCCCACCAACAGGAAGCGACCCTTTAGAAACAGGCCCACCACCCGCCACCGGGCCTTCTGGGAGAAAGGCCCAAGCCATATTCCTCTCACGAGAGCCAGCAGCCAGATCACTCTGCAACTCACAACTGGCAACCCCACCCCAGTGGAGCTCAGCAGGTGTGAGCCTGGTCAGTACCTGGAGGGGAGACTCCTGGGGAAAACTAAGGTTGCTGCTGGGAGAGGTGTTGGTGGTGCCAGCAGGGGGCGCTCTCACCCTGCGGTCTGTGTGGGTCCTGATGCCCCAGTATAGTGACGGGGGACACTGGACTGTAAACAGGCACCGTCCTTCGGATGAGACGTCAAACCGAGGTCCTGACTCTCT